ATAACTAATATCTACAAATTATTTCAGATGGTGAATTCAGTATTTGAAAATGGCACATTTTGTGGGCACAGTCCACTCCTACTGATGTTTATAAGCTCGATGAGAAAGAGGTATTCTATGCCAAACTTGCATCCATGGCAGACAGATGTCGCCGGCTAGACATTTGCATCATACTGGCCAATAATTTCTGGCTGTGAACGAGCTGGATATGAGATGTCTGTTGGTCGTCATGGGAGCTGGATCATCGGGTACAGTTGGCAGGACCATGTGTCCAACTGACGGATACGCTGTTAGCCTGGCATCGGACCTGTTACTTGCATAATCTGGGATTGCCAACTCAGGCTATGTGGGCACCTAGCTCATTTCCCTGTGGATAACCCTACCCATCAGGTTTCCTCTTTGCAAGACCATCCTGGGTGGAGGAGGCCGGTTGGACGATGTAGGGGGTCATGGCTTGATCAGCTTGACCAGACCTGTCACAAGGAGCTAGATAGAGAAGGGCCAAGAGCCTGCCTAGAGGTTTGCCATGAGGGACCCCATGGGTGGAAGTGAAGGGTGGATGTGGTCATGCACCCTGTCGGCGTTAATCCCCAGTGAGGATGACAGAGGGAAACTATAGTGGTTCTTTGTGATTTGAAGCTCGATGGATTCCAGACGATGTGAAGTCTTCATTCCTTGAAGGTAAGGACTAAGAAAATGTTATATTCATATTTTCTTGTATATAATAAGCAATGATAATATGTACAACTTTTGTATGAATCAACCATTATTACATAGAAAAATCTTTATATAATCAGTTTATGCTTGACAACTTGATCATTTAATTATAATAGTTTATTTACTTTTGATCCTAATTGCAAGAAGCAGACATCACTCTGTGCCAGTTCACTTGGACTGTGTTACTTTTTAAGTCTGCAAGAGAAACTTGGAGGCTCTATGAACTTGACCTAAATTGTTAAGATCTTGCAGAGTTTCCACACACAAGTTTATTGCAGCTTTTCTTTCTAACTGGTAGGCATGGCTTTTATTGATATGGATTCTTATTTCAGTGGCAGTTTGATCCAGAAGTGTAGATGTATGGATTGAGGCTACTCGTATTGAAGATCTGACTGCTTGTGACCATCTGAGGTGGCTGTGGACTGGAAATTGCAGTGTTGGACTTGCATATTGGGACTACCTTCTGTTGCTACTCAAGTATTTCATTCAAAATAAAGTAAGTTTTATGGTGACTATGTATATGATGATGAGACTTAAACTATTATGTTTAGAATCTGTTTCTGCTACAATGGGTGTGAGAGGAAAGAATGCACTTGCATTGCAGACATACTCCTGTGTCAGTTCATGTGGACTGAATCACTTTCTCAAGTCTGCAAAATCAATTGAAAATTCTTAGGAATTTAATCCAAGTGGTTAAGGTCTTAAGAGCTTTTCGTACAATATTTTTTATAAGTTTATATTTTGATATACTTAGATGATTTTTAGTTGTGTGTTGGGAGTAGATTAGTGGATAAAATGGTACAAGATTGTGACTGAATTCCATGAGTCTCTTAATTTATTCCTACTTCTACAGCTTAGGTTTTCTATATCCCTAAAGTCCTTATAGGTGCTTTTTTTAATGAAATGAACAAGGAATTTATTATAGTGTTTCTTTTCAGAGATGTGTGTGACTGATATCAAATGCCTTCATGATGGTTTTGGATGCTGTGACTGCTAGACCTTCCTACCTGTCACTGAGAATTTAACCTCTGGGAGGTAGACAATTGTGTTCATTTGATGTGATAATAAAAGAATAAAGTGCTAATAGTGTTTGTTTCTAAAGTTCCTTCTGTTTAAACCAGTGTACATTGAATAATGAATGAATGCAACATGAACTTCAAGTACACGTGATTAAATGCATTGAACATTGTTACTGTTATATATTATAAACATTACCTTTTGGATATTAAGAGCTGCAGGCAGATTCAAAGTGTCCATAAGGGGTCTTCATAGCTAGAGTACCTAATAGGGAGGGGGGGGGAGCAAAAGGATAAAGGGGAAAAAAAGCAAAACGGTAAAGTCTTCATGAAGTCTTTTAATATAAAGAAACTGGTGCAGAGAATGATTTAAGATACCAAAAAGGTCAACTTCCTGGTGACAAAACCTGTTCTTGTTTTCTCTTGCTGTACTGAAATAGTTTGTATGTGATTTCTTGCCTTTTTGTAAAATGTAATGCAATTTGAAGATTTATAAATGTTCATCTTTGCTAACTTTTGAATGACTGATTTTGTTGTGAACCAAAAATGTGGAAAAAAAAGTTTTATTAATGTCTATGTTGAAATACTCCCTCTTCATCTACCATAATAATTTTATCTTGGCAACTAAAGACCTGTTTATTTAATCATGCTTTAGAGTAGTGAATGTCCAGGTCTGAGCCTCTGGCCAGAAAAAAAAACTACGAAAATCCTCTATTCATGTTAGGAGTTAGGGGAAATACAAGGCTGATGTTCAGTATGGGTAATTG